ATCTTTCCTATTTATGGCACACAATTCCTCCCATTGAATGCACAACAGTCATTCATAACACACAATTATAGCGCCGGTACGTTTTCATTGCTATATTTTTAAATTAATAATTTAAGAAATAATTTTTTAAATAGACTAGATGAAATTTATTTTTGTAGTTGCACTTAGAAAATGAGTATACAAATAATTTATTAGATATGTAGTCTTGTACTATTAAAAACTTAGTTATTTTTCCAGTTATCTTTTCTATTAACTATTTCGAGATTCAAATCATTACATTACATTACAAATCATTAATCTTATAAATAATTATTCAATCAATCCCTTAAGACATTGACATAATGGCTGGTGTTATGCGAAACGAGGGCTCAATGTTGGGTCACATGGAGTACCCAAAGAGTGATTCCCTGAAAACCAAAGAGGACTTCAAGAGTTTGATCAAAGCAGTGACCATCCCAGACCTGGATGTTGAGAAAATCACCGCATTTTACTTGACGGATGTGGTCGCCAACTCAACCAATGGCACTAAACATGCCTTTTGGGAGTTCTTCGGCGACATAGCCATCACTTGTCCCACATATCTGTTCGCCAAAGAGTTTGCCCAGAATTCGCCCAAAAATAATGTCTACTTCTATGAGTGGACTCATCCCTCATCACTATTGAGTCCACTAATGGGCTGTTCCCAGGAAATGGGTGTCTGTCACGCGGCCGACATTGAGATAGTGTTCGGAATGTCTGTTTTGGTCCATTCAAAGGACGCAGACTTCAGTAAATCAGTTATGCAAATGTGGACCAACTTTGCTAAGAATGGGTAAAATAATTAACTTTATAAGTTTGGTGTACTTTATAAAATGTGTTTAATGTTTTATTATCAATTTTGTAGTAAACCAATGGATGGCACGTCCTATAAGTGGCCGCGACTTATAGAGTCCGGTGTTGTGAGTCCGGTGACCAAAATAAAGGAAATAAATCCCACAAAACCGGACACTATATTAGATAATTTCTTTGAGAAAACTTGTGATGGTTTTTGGAAAGACTATTACTTGTGATAAATGTCTA